TCATTTTACTTTACATCTTTCAGCTTTCACCAGCACATCAATATCAGAAGTCACATCCTGAGTGGCAGCCAACTTCAGGATGTGATTCAAGTTCTTGTGTGAGCCTTGAGCGCAGCTTTGTTTTATTTATACTCATTACAGAGAAAACTTGCTCACAAAGATAAGTTTATTTTCACTCTACATTGTAAAGTATGAAAATAAAGTTTACACAACCATCTCGTGGGCCGGATTAAACCCGCTTGCGGGCCGGATTCGGCCCGCGGGCCGCATCTTTGACACCCCTGGTCTAGACTATAAAATCATTCATCAGAAAAGTCCAACTTGTAATTGTTTTGTCCACAGAACATACACATTTCTGTCATAATTATAGCAATATTCAGAGTTAAGTACTCAAAAATAACATAGTTTAAGTTAAGCATTATACTGTGGCTAAAGGGGAACCAGGCAATTGTGGATAGCTTTTAGCACCCCCTAATGTTCATTTGTAGAACCAAAAACAAAACCTAAGTGTGCGCTGTGCGTTTGTCTTTTTAACACCTCAACAGCTGAAATTTCTCCCCAGCCTTCATTAGTGTCTACAGGAGGGATTCATCTCTAAATTAAACAAATCAGCTGTGTTCATGATCTAAACCATGCAGGAAACATGCTGGAACCAGACTGCAGCAACAGGTATGTCAGCTCAAAAGTCTAACAGAGCAGCCCGCCAGTCTGAAGTATCAAGTAGAATATTCTGGACACAGTAAACCCTGTAAAGAGTCACTTTAGCTCACACTGGCTCAAGAAAATGATTAAAAACATGGAAAAGTTGCAAAGTATCCCTTTAACCTCAGTTCTTTTAACGCTCTCCAGACAGAGACAACGTTTCTTTATGTCTGTTGTTGTGCACAAAGATTGCTTTTGTAACCAGTCACACTTAGTGTCACTGGGTCTGTCTATATTTAGAGCTTCTTCTCCCACAAGGGAGAACAAACACAAACACGCTCAGCCGCCACTGCACATGAAAAAAAATCTACTTATTGCAACACAAAGAAGATGTTTTTCATAATTCAGATGCAGTGACACACAGATAAACACACACACACACACACACACACACACACACACCACACACACACACACACACACACACACACACACACACACACACACACACACAAAGACCAGTGTCAGTATGTCCCTTTTCTTTTTTGATCTCTTTGAGAAAACACACACACACACACACACACACACACTTTTGCACGTGTTCCATCTTTCTTCATTTTTTTCATTCTTTTTTTAACTAGATGAATTTTGGCAAAAAAAATGCTGCAAATTAACTAATTCCACACAGCAGCCAAGCATTTAGGTTTTTTCTCTGGGGGTTTTAGCATACATTTATTATTTGGTTACAAGTAGAAACCACTGAGACTGATAACTGTTGTTTTAATTGTTCAGAATCAGGGTTTGCTGCCGTTAGGATTAGCTAACCCTATCCCAGTAAGTTGATTTAAAACTCATAATCAAACATATAATATCCAGTCATTGTTTGCTTTAAAATACAAGCAGAGACCAGTTGGAAGTATGACGCACTGATCCTGTTACATTAAAATCTGTCTGTTTATAAAGTAAAGAATCAGTCCACAGCCCCTGTTCGGCATCAATCCACCCATGCACCTGTTTACTGAGAAATGTCTGCAAACATTTTTGCTCTGAAATAAGTTTTATATCTATTTGGTTATTTCCCTTGAACACTTCCCAGCACTTTGGCAGCTCTCATTCCCCATTATTGTTACTGGAACTGCAAATCTAAATGAATCGTTTTAAAATAAATACGTGTTGCTGGTGCTGTTTAAGGTAGCAGGGGAGTCCTGCAGTCAAGGTAGGTACCACTCCCTGTCACAGCTGCTTTCTGACCACAATGGAAACTGAACCGAAACGATTCATGTTCAAGTCTGCGAAAAGCAAAGGAATGGATTGGACCAGAATCAGTGGAAAATGCTGGGAGACTTCTGTAATTTTATTTTCTGTTACCAGTGATAGTTTGCAGGCCTGGGTTGTCCAAAGTATTCAAGATGAGACCCAAAATTGTCAAGTTATTGGTGTTTGTGGATCAAAAATTAAGCTTTTTGTTTATTAAATAATGCAAAATGTTATTGATGGTAATTTATTTTCATCAAACAAAGGTTCAAAAGGGCATATTAGTAAAAATCTGAACTTAATCACCCTGCTGGAGGGACTAAATTCATCATTCTTTAAATAAATTAAATTAGGGACCGTGCAAAATCACTCAATGGACCACAAATGGCTTCCGAGCCACACTTTGGACATGCTGTTTAAATGTTGAGCTTTAGTGTTCCAAGGAAAAGAAGCAAAATAATTGTATGTGTTTAATTCCAACAGAAACATAAAAATCATATAATTTTTATACATTTACACTAAACATCAAGCAGATCAGAATCAGAGGGTGTCGTGAGGCTATTTTTAAGTGATGAAGCCATACGACCTATTTTACATGAGCTAAATACAAATTAAATGTTTAACATTACTTAGGTCTTTATTTTAGAAATATGCAGAAGGCATAAACAACTCAGTTTATGCAAAGTCTGATTCAGATTCAGAAAACTTTATTGGTCCCAAAGGGCAATTTACATTTTAGCATATCATAAAAACCATAAAACCATAAAAAAAACATTAAAAACAAGAAACAAACCAACATTATATAAACAACAATCAGTCAAACCACTAATCAATCAGTCAATGTGTCCCTGCTAACATTACATTAAACATAGTCCCTAGTGATGAGTAGCCCTCACATCGCACTCATATCCAGGGTCCGAGTTTCTTGGTCACACCTTCTTTAAAAGGCTCTCTATGAAGCAGCAATAAAAGTTGCATAGAATCCTTTAATTTACATTAAAATTATTGAATTTCCTTGAAAGATAGATTCTCTGCTGGCCACTTTTAAAATACAATGATCAAAAGACAAAGAAGCTCAGGTGCATGTAACAAAAGCACAAAGTCTCTTTTGGCATTTCTCATGTGCAAATAGTGACGGGAGGTTTCTGATTAAGACACGACACGTGCATTATCACAAAGAGTATTTTTCTGCTGCTAGCTTTGAATGTGCATTTGTAAACTAAGGCACGTATCTGGTTTCCTTCCATCATTTGAAGTTAAGTTCCTGTTCAGCTTCTGTAGTGAAAAGAAGAACAAGATTTCACCCAGACAGCAAGAAAAAGAGGAAGTCCACCTTCCCACGGTCTCAGACATTAATTTTAATCAGCCTCAGAGTGTTTTACTGCATGTGGTCAGGTGTGTGTGTGTGTAGGAGTGTAGGTGTGTGCGTGGGTTAGGGACCAATAGAGGAGGTGACCCTGATTGGCTGAGAGCTGCAACAGTCTGATAAGGTGATGTTTTCTCTGACTCATTTCAGAGGAAGGCAGGAAAACCCTTTAGTGATAAACTACATCATGTGTTCAGTAGCGTGTGTGTGTGTGTGTGTGTGTGTGTGTGTGTGTGTGTGTGTGTGTGTGTGTGTGTGTGTGTGTGTGTGTGTGTGTGTGTGTGTGTGTGTGTGTAGGTGAGGGAGATAAACTGAAACTTGTGGTCCCATCACTTGTCAGTCTCTATTCTTTCAGTAAGAATAGGAATTTGGAATTGTTAAGAGATCAAAACTGATCACAAAAAGTGCATCAAAAGTAGGTAAAAGTTTAAAAAGGTTGTGTTTTTTAATATTTGCTTTTTAAATCTAGGCACCGGTAGAAAATGGGTTCCCCTACTGATCATGAGCTTCTTTTCTGCATCTTCAGACATGCTCAATTGTCCCTTATGCCTTTTATTTATTTATTTTTTAGTTAAAGGAATCATTTTGACTCATTCTACTTGCAGCCATGATTGTTCATTTAATGTTTCAATAAATAAAATGAGGAAAATTTTGATCTGCTCCGTCTTTGGCACTAATGATACAGGAACATTTTTTTACCTCACTTTGTGGAAGTTTTACACAATTTGACATGAATGATATCGTCAGACTGGCTTTGTGTGACATTTTCTATTTCTATTACTGTTTTGTTTGCTTTAAATGTCTAATGACCAAATTTTGTGTGAATGTTTCCTGTTTTATAGCACAAAAAGTGCAGATAAGGCAGTTTTTGTAATTTTAATTCCTTCAAAAGAAAAAAATGGGTTGTGAAATATTCAATGGTGCACTGATGTTTAACCCTTTGATGCATAATGGTCACTACAGTGGACAGGTACTTAAAATTGTTATTTATTTATTTTTGCTATTAAGCACAGCTGTTGAAGACTTTATTGCATTTGAACCCCTCCATTTGTAATTCAGTAAGTCAAGCCAACATATTTCATGTTCAGATTGCACAATGTCCACTGAGGTGGACATGTAATAAATTATTTGTAAATTAAATTTGACAAAAAATATGTAAATATGAAATTTGTTACATTCACACCTAAAGATGAATGAAAAAAATTGTTAAAAAAAATCATGGTTGAAGATTTCATAATTCATGCATCAAAGGGTTAAGGATGAATCATCTATCCATATTTTTAGAATCAAAATGAGGATTTATTTTTTACCCATGCTTTTAATTTGATAGGCTATTCTTATCTATGGCCGAATTTAAATCATACAAACATTTGATTTAAAACCATCACGTTTATATTTTTACAATTAGGTTTAAATTTATACAATAAAATTTGATTGTAAATATTTTAAATTTTAAATATTTTTTGAATTTAAAATAAATGTATAATTTTAACATCAGCACCCCATAGTTAAAGCCTGCAGACGCCCACTACTTACATTCTGATTACCAGTTTTCTATTTTCTTCTATTTTTAGTTAAGCAACAACATATTTTGAAATTTTTATTGTCCAAACACATTTTTGTACTCATGTGAATGCTGACTGCATCAGGTTAAACTATTTTTGCCTTCGTTGTTTAATCTTTGCACGTTAAAACGCTTCCTTGAGTTGATTAGTTGGACTGTCTCTTCCACCTCCAGAACTCAGTTCCACTCTGATGGAGAAAATGCAGGCCCAGGAGATGATGAGTGGCCTGAGGATACCAGACATGGACGAGCTCGGCCGGCTTTTCCACTCCCTGCCGACCTCCACGCTGGTGGGTGTTGGCGCCTTGACCGCTGTGCTGGCATACTGGTTTGCCACCAGGCCTCGTCCCATCAAGCCTCCCTGCAGCCTGCAGCACCAGTCTGAGGAAGTCCCGGTGAGATGCGCGCATGATGCTAATACCAACAAACACACACATATAAATAAACATGATGTCAGATGTGCGCTGCAAACCCCCAAAACGTGGTTTAATTTTGGTTTAGTCCACCTAAACCACTTTTCCCACAGTGCACATTTTCTTACATGAGTAAACCACAGACCTCTCACCTACAGGTGGGGTGACAGCACCGGTAGTCGGTGTGAAACTTGGAAACCTGAAAAGCACTCTTTAAGAGAACAATGTCCCAGAACTAATTACCCAGAATGCATCAGCAGGAATAATGCACACACGTCCTGTAGAGGCCACGTTATCAACATTTCAGAACGAACCACAGACATCAAGCATCGTGTGTTGATTTATTTTCTATCTACGTCTTTTTTTGTCAGCACGAAGGTGGAGGTCGAAGATCCATGATGGGTGACCCGTCCAGATTGCTGACTCATTACCATGACGATGCCAGGACCATGTATGAGGTCTTCCAGAGAGGCCTCCACATATCTGGTGAGTTCGGTGTGAGTGAGAATAATTGGGTCCAGTGAAAAGGTGCTAAACTATGAAATGAATGTTCAATAGGTCAGACATTATAAACCTATTTCTGGCTCCAACACGTCACAATAAAAGTCAATCCAAACTGTCTAAGCTATTTTCTAGGGAATTGACCAATTTAGATGAAATATTGGGGGTCAGTATTATAAACACAACTGCTGCATTACTGGTGTTTACAACAGCCTATAAAACATTAATTATCTATAATAATAAAGTTTAATCATCTAGTGGTTTGGGACAGAGTTACACTCCAAATTACAGCTCAACATGTTATGATGAGCAACAAGCAAATACAGGAAAGGCTACATTAGGACTTAATGGAAACAGATGGCAACGCATGACGGGAAAAGCTGAAAAAGACAAAAAGAAGAAGAAAAAAATAAAATGAACAAAAACTCAAAAATAAAAATTAGAATCAACATGCTTGTTTCTTTTCTTGGCCAAATTAATACTTTCTCCATAAAATATCATTTAGCTGATACATCACATCCCGTTGTTATGATTCATCATTGGGGCTAAAAATGTAATTTATAAATGAAACATAATGTTGGAATCATGTTTAGATGCCTTTTCGTTTAAGTCATTCAGAATATTTGCCCGCGTGGCAAACAAGGCCGACAGGTAAAGCTTCCAGTGAAGCCCCGCCTCTCCTGTTGCCACGGTGATATCCATGATTGCTAAAGCCAAACAGGGTTTGTGACTAACTCAGAATAGCATCATTTTTATTTCTAAGCACTTCTGTCTGTACTGACATGCTTCATTAGAAGGTTATTGCGTATTTGAAACGTTTTCCCAAATTTATGAGTCATAGAGAAAAAAATAAGAGTGAAGAAACCAAAAAGTTAAGCTGAAATACATCCCACAAGGAGAAGATGTGAACTTATTCACAGTTTACTTCAGTCTCTTTAGTTACATTGGTAAAGTATAATGTCATGATTAAAACTTAGATGTTTGTTTTTAGTCCATATTAACATAATGTTTCCAGGGCTGTTTGCGAGGGTATTCCATTTTTTAAGCACACAAATGATCATTTCTAATTTTGTTTTGTGTTCATGAACACAACAGGTGATGGTCCCTGCTTAGGGTCCCGGCTCCCAAACCAGCCCTACAAGTGGATGTCCTACAAAGAGGTCAGCTGCTTTTTGGCAATGCTTTGTCCTGTAAATAAATATTTTACTAACAAAGTTACAGAAAACAAAGGCCGTTTCTCAATACTCAAGGACGCTGTAAGTTCTTGTGTACTAGACAAGTATGTTGCTGGCAAGGACACCAGAAAGTCTGTTCTACCAAGTACTGGAGGAAGAGGATGGCATTTGAACCAGCACCATACTATGTTGTGTCCTGGCAACAAGCGCTGCTTCTTGCTACAGTTAAAAAAAAACAACCTGACATAAAAATAAAAGTCTAGTTTGTTCCTTAAATAAGAAAATAACAACAAAAACGTGTTATTTGTAATATATTTGGCCCACCATTGATCAAAACTATTAAAATACTAGCATTTCCCACTGTTTAATGAATAAAAAACATTTGTTTTTCATCAGAACAGACCTACAGTGCTTTTATTTTGATAATGGGTTAGCTAATTAGCATTTTGAAGTATTGTAAAGAGAAAACCCAGACACAGACAGCAAAATTTACAGTATACACAGAATAACTTACAATAACAGACAACTTATTCTTTTATGTATATTTCTAATATAAAACATTACAGTTATTAGCTTTCTCCTCTGACGTTCAGAGTCTAACGGTTTGCAACGCAATGCATTGTGGGAAACTTTGCTGTCCCAATTCGGCAGAAGGATGCATCGATGCATCCTCGATACAATGGGTGGAGCAAGAACACATCTGGGAACTTTGAGCAAACTTGCCGTTATGTAAACTTAGGATTTGAACAGTTCTTGGGCCATCGTTGTTGATGTTTCACAAGAACATGAGTACACAAGTTTTGACAAGTATGCATACAGAGAAAAGGCCAAATTCTCAGCGAAGAGGGGGAATTTCCTGAAGTATTTAACTGGGATTAGTAAAAGCGAGTATCGAAACTGGCCCCAATTTACCAAACATTGAATGAATGAATGAATGAATGAATGAATGAATGAATGAATGAATGTTTATTCTGATAGTACATTTTCACTTTGAATGTTTGTATACAGTTAAAAAATGGTAACACTTTACAATACAAATCCCTTTATTAACGTTAGTTTGTGCATTATTAAACATTAATAAACAAAGTGTCCCTTTGTTTACATTCAGGCTGGGGGGGAGGGGGGTCTTCTTTGTAATGAATTACTTACTATTAACATTAATATTAGGCAGTTGCTAATACTTTATTTAATAGTTTATTAATGCTTAATAATGCACTGAGTAATGTTGATAAATGGACCTTCAATGCTAATTGTTACCTAAAAAATCAACCTTTTTCAACACAATAAAATAAAATAGAAAAAAGTACTTTTTGGACTTGTAATTGGAATAGGCTGAAGCCAAATCTTGTTTATGACTATTCCCAATTATGCAATGAAAATTGAAAATAATCTTTAAAAAACTGTAAAATAATAATAATAATAATAATAATTCAGTGAAACAATCTAAATTAAATATTGATGTTTGTATGCATTTTATCGTTTGTTAATTAAAGCTGTTCAATGATAAGGATTATTGCCACTATGCTAAATCAAGTCAACATGACTTTTTTCCTCTTGCTGTTATGCCATTAAGAGATTAGCACAGGAATAAATCAATACTTTTGAAAAAAGACATTAATAAAACACAATATTAATCAAGTTTCCTCTTGTTTCTTTTGTTTTTTTGTTTACAGTCCAGAGTTAAAGACTGAATCTAGATCAAACTAATCAAGATAACTTTAATGACCAATTAGTACATTTCCTGAAAATCTGTGCAGACTTTGCAACATATCTCCATTGTTCAGTGGCTGTTTTCAGTTCCTAGAGAGTTCACTCTCAACCAAGAGGAAATAATGATAACCTGGGGGATTTTTTTCTAAAGAAGTTTACAGTGAGTGATCTACTTACACAACGCTCAGGGTTGCATGTTTTATAGGAAAATTAACGGATGGAAACGATACCAGAGCAGAAAAGCAAATCTGGACCTGTTTATATTCTCATTTACAGAAAGCTTTTTTACTTCTCTCCCTGTAAATGAGTCAAGGTGGGAAAACAGGCGACAACTTTTTTGAAATAGTTGGAAACTATGAATGAATTTCTGCAGAGATGAAAACCGTGGCAGCAAATTAGGCAAATGATCTTCAGTTACCTGTTGTTGCTAAAGAATAGTGGAAACACAAGTGGATTTATTTTTATTTTTGATTGAACAAGAAGTTATGAAACATTCAAAAACTCACAATAAATTAGAATTATTTTTTTTTTTTTTTACTGTTTAAACATATTTTGTTTGATGTTTAATACTGGATCATGTTCTACTTTCCAGGTGACGGCTCGAGCAGAGCACGTGGGTTCTGGTCTTCTACACCAGGGCTGTCAGCCCAACTCCAACCAGTTTATAGGAGTGTTTGCTCAGAACAGACCTGAGGTAAAAAAAAATTTAATTTAAACATCAACATCTTTATTTGTCTCATCAGAACTTCAGTGACACTTTGCTCTATGTTTTATTCCAGTGGATCATCTCTGAGCTAGCATGCTACACCTACTCCATGGTGGTGGTCCCTCTTTATGACACGCTCGGTGCAGATGCTATCCGGTTCATCATTAACACTGGTATGAAAACAAACACCACACCCTCCTAGGGATGCACCAATTAATCAGCTGATGGCAGGAATCACTCGATTTTATGCTTCACTAGTTTGATCGATGGCGTGTCAAAGTTCTGATTATTTTCTAGTCAATAAACGCACCATAGCTATGGAGCAATCCAAAATTTGAACTTTTTATGATCTCTGCACCTCTTTCACAGTAGAGAAGCCTCAGATTTAGGTGTTTGCAACAAGTGAGATGATTAAAAATGAAACAAGAGGGAGGACAAGAAGGCTGCTTTTATTGTTACTTTATAAATGTTTTTTAATTCAACCCGAAGTGTTTAAAAAAACACGTTTTTGTTGTTTTAAGGCAGTGGTTCCCAAACTTATTTAGCCGCGCACCCCCTTCTATGTCCCGACCATGTCGACGCACCCACAGAAAGGGTTAAAAAAAATTCCCCATCACTTTCATTTTCTAAATAGTAATTAATAAGCATTCAATACCATTACAATTTCCTTTGATTTCACTCTGAATAAATATTTAGAGTGCCCAGGTAGCACATAAAGAATGCAATTTAACGGTTTTCTTAAAGTAGGAACGTTTAACCTGTGCGGCCAGAGCTCTCTCCTTCCTTCTGCTCTGCGTAAACCTGAGCTGATCACCTACTTGTGCGTAATCAAATGTCAATAGGGGACAAGATATAGCCATGATGTTCACTTTTACCTCAGACCGACTTATTGCTGTTTTATGGTGTGGCTGAATCTGCGATCCGCTGTCATGCGGACTGGAATAATGAATGCTGCAGTGGACTTGTGGTCAGGTTCGGAGTCACTGGCTGGAGCGGACCCGACTCATCCCAGAAGCTAATATCTTAATTTGACCTTGAATGAAAAATAACCTCTTAAAAGTTTTTATCACGGTGGAGGCAGCGTTCATTTCTGCCTTCAGTCTGACAGCGGGCCGGAGTTAAAGCAGTGTGTGCGCTTATTGAATCTGTGTGTGCGCGCGCGCACGCGCGCGCGGCACAGCCGCTCAAGTCACCGCGTCTCGCGCTATTTAAACCAATGTTGTAAAATTCCTTCTGCCCAGCCCAGACGTGCTCACTTGTGCACCCGTGAGCCGTGGTTCAGCCGGAACATGTCTGACCTCGACTCTGAACTTCAGATCTTCAGCGCGCTGTCAATAGCCTGAATGGGAATCATTTCTTGTTATTTAGTTACATCCACAATGTTCTGTGTGTGAGGTTTACAACGTCAGAACACCTGCATGAGACAGGGTGTTAATTACAATCTGCCAGAATGACTCGCCACCTTCAGATTTCTCCAACACCGTTAAAAATGATCAAATACGGAACATATCGGCGTGCGGAGGCCAGAGTGCTGAAGCTCGGCGCATTGTTATTATGAAGTTAGGACACATGCGGAGGACACGCGCGCACGCGACGGAACATATCGGCGTGGCAGGCCAGAGTGCTGAAGCTCGGCGCATTGTTATTATGAAGCTAGGGCACATCATGTGGAGGACACGCGCGCGCGCAAAAATATACTTGTTTTCAATTACATTTATTGGGCCCACTTACTTTTTCTTTGGCCCACCCACAAATGAGTTTCTACGCTAATGGTGACATATGACAGACTTCTCTGAGCTCCGCAGCCATTACACTTTTCACCTCGTGCACCCCCTAGCGGCAGCTCGCGCACCCCTGGGGGTGCGCGCACCACACTTTGGGAATCCCTGTAAGGGAATAGAAGACTAAAATCAGAATAAGTACACTGTAAGAATTTACTTAACTAAGTTTTGTCAACATGTTCCACTAAATGTAAGGAGTAATACACATTGTTCTATGTTGTTACATTAAAAGCAACTGTTTACATTTAAGCTAATAGGTTTAGTGGAACCAGTTTACTATGACCATTTTTTACTCAAAACAAGAACAATTGATCATATTTAAGAATATTGACCTTATTGCAAGTGCTTTTTTGGACTAAAAATAAGATTTTTGTTAATGTCTAAAAACAAGTTATTGTTTTTCGTACTTTCTTGAATATCAGTGAATTTGAAGGGAATTTCTAATAGTTAATGATTTTTTAGAAACATTCTGTTTGCCCTAAATTGTCTTTCAAAATCCTGATTGATCCCAGTGTTGTGCAATTGTTTTAATTCAATTCCACCTCTGCTTGTGTTTTCTTTTCTTTTGTTTCTCATTTTGCTCATAATGACACGTGTGTGTGTGTGTGTGTGTGTGTGTGTGTGTGTGTGTGTGTGTGTGTGTGTGTGTGTGTGTGTGTGTGTGTGTGTGTGTGTGTGTGTGTGTGTGTGTGTGTGTGTGTGTGTGTGTGTGTGTGTGTGTCTGTGCTTGTTTAATTTCAGCTGACATCTCCACCGTGATCTGCGACAAAATGGAGAAAGCCCAGGTGCTTTTGAACAACGTAGAGCGGAAAGACACGCCCAGGCTGGGAAGAATCATTCTGATGGACGCCTTTGACTCTGATGTTGTGGAGCGTGGCAAGAGCTGTGGCGTCCATGTGCAGGCATTGCAGGAAGTCGAGGTATGGCGAAAGCATCACTGCAAAGCTTTGGATGTTCTAGAAACTAAACTAGAAACATTAAAGTGGTGTAAAAATGGCGCTTTATTTTGACTCAAACTGTAGGTTTATCCCAGCATTTCTTATTTTAAGACCATCTGCTTAGTAACTTAAAAAACGTTTTGCATCTGTTCAGCCCGAACTGAAGAAAAATGTGTAAAAGATGCTTTTTATTATGTTGCCTAGTAACAGGAGGTAATTTTGACTCTACTTTAACCAGACAAAACAGGAAACCATCCCCCAAAACAAATGACTCATCATCAGAAGAGTATTACATTGCATTAAAGTGTCAAAATCAAAGATTATATTTATTTGTAGCATTAACTGTGCTTACCTGTGCTACTTTATCACCAGTTATTGTGGATGATGAAAAATCTAATTATTACACATAAATTTAAATAAAACATCAAATGAAAACAGTCAGTCAAGATTTCTTAGCATTTATTTTCATGCAAAATGATGTTATTTTGGTACAGAACATCAAAAGTTTACTGAGAAACCAGTTTTGACTGGTAGTTTAGTAATCATCAATCACTGTTGAGTTTCACACGACGGCTGAACATGAAAATAGTCTTCTACCCCTTTTTTCCTGCATTAGCCGCTGAAAGACAATATATGGGGAAACACGGGTCAGAAAAAGCCACACAGATCTACGTCTTTGTGTAAATTAGCATTCATAGACTCACACACATAGTGGCTCGCAGTGGCAAAAAGCTGTTGCTGATTTAGCACCCAGGAGAGAGCAGAGCATGTTTTGGCTAGTAGAAGCTAACATTAGCAACTCCGTAACATGGCAGAACTCCTTCAAGCTTGTGTTATTTGTGGGGATAGAACATTATCGGTACAAAGCAAAAAACCGACTCAGTGGGGCAAACGCGTTGTTGTTGGCAATTAGAGGCTATCCGAATTCCGAGACTCAAAACCCCACTGTTTTCTGGCCCCCCTCTTCTCGGGCTAACTTCTACATTCTGAACAGGAGCACAAGAGCTTCTGTTTTTGTCCCACAACTCACAAGGCATTATTGAGACTACAGCAAATGTATTGAAACAACAAGTGAATGTGAGCTTTAAGTGAGGTATAAAGGGAGGAGGTTCTAGAAGCTAGCGACAAAAAGGAGAAAGGCATGTTTTTATGTCCATGGTCCAGAAATAACCAAAGTAGATCTAAAGTGATGAAGGATCCGTGTTTTTTAAGAATCAGTTCCTACACAGTGACGTGTCAGCGTGTTTGGAATGTCATGGTTAACATGCATGCAACCAGTGAAACACGTTTTCTTTTGAGTGTGCTTCCGCAGTAAAGCCTGCTACTGCTTTAGAGCATAGCAAGCATCAAAGCCAAGAACAGACAGTCATAACAAACCCACGTTACCATTTCATCTGACGAGACGTGCATGAACAGGATGCGTTGAGGCGTTTATCTGATTGTTTCTAGCCTTGTGGAATTTGACTGTCTGAGCCACAAAATCTAGCTAAGTTAGTTTGCAGCAATGACTAAGCTCATTTCAAGACATTTGTCAGATAGAAAAATGTACAGAGCTGTAAAGCAGCCACATATAGCAAACGTCTGTCAATAAATTGACGATTCTTCCCCTCATTATAGACCAGGACAAGGACAGTTGTCCATCCAGTTGGCCTAGTTCCACTTTACACAAAAAGAGAGTATTGTCTCACTAAGTAAACATAATTTAATGGTGCTTTGACTCTTGTCTATTTTCTTAGGGGATGAAAAGTTTGAATAAAAGCTCACACACAAATGAAAAAGTATTCAAAACTTTATTGTTTATACACAACTTTTGATTTATGCTTGCAACTAAGAGCACAAACATTTGGCTTTCAGTGCTACACTCACATTCAAAATTCAAGTTAAGAGATTGCACCAGGAGCTGGATGACGAGTTGGGTTAGGCCATGTGATGGAATGATCTGGCCAAGGGATGTGGTGAACATTGCTAAGCTCTATTTGTAGTAACTTTAAATTTATTAGTGCATCTCACATGTTATAATAAACTTACTGATTTCAATTTATGTCTCTTTGCAGGCTCTGGGGAGGGAGCACTACAGAAAACCTATAGTAAGTACAAGAAACTGCTTGAACTAAGGCAGAATTTGTAAAATGATGCTTTCTAGGATGTCTGAAATCATGCAAGGAAAATTCCAACCAGGCAAACAACTGTAAAGATAAAAATACTTTGAGTGTGCTGTGCAAGTTTTCCAATGGGCAGGTTGAAGATATTTTATCTGTGTTTTTACGACAGCTGTTACAGCTTAACACGTAACTCATGTTGACAGGTGAAACAATGATCTCTGACAAATCAGAGTATTTACCAGCTGAGCAACTATTTGTTCTTTGTTTTAAAAGAAAAAAATGCAAGGGAAAAAGCAACTATGTGTGTTTTGAAGAACTGTCCCAGTGACAGACTTGCAAACTAATACTGTACGTACTTCTACTGCAACAACAACAGCATAAGAGGAACCAGAATCTGCACATGCAACTCATCATTTCCTCCTAAAGTCAGGCCTTCGGTCCAGCTAGTGAGCCTTAGAGGTTTTAGTTTGGGATCATTTGCATATTTTCTAACTGGTACTTTCTCTCAACAGCCACCAGCACCAGATGATCTGTCCATTGTGTGTTTCACCAGTGGAACCACAGGTAATATTTGGTCGTTTTGTCCTAAATGCAACATTTTACAGTGATGTGTGACATTCACCTGTGTAGCACTTCTTGGAGTCAGAGGACTCCAAAGTACTTTACACTACACTCAGTTATTAGTTATTCACCCATTTACACACACACTCACACACACACACACACACACACACACACACACACACACACACACACACACACACACAAAGTGGTGCAGGTGGAGTCAATCAATGCAATGATTTATAACTAATGCTGCACTGCCACAACCTTGCCAGCTTTGATGCATCTTTTAATCCAAAGTGCTAAGCAGTGAGCATAAAATAGGTACATTTTTAAATTGCACATGTATTTATTTAATAAATCTGAACCATACAAAACAGGCCCATAAATGTAGCTTTGTGTCAGAAATGAGCACATATTCTAACCAAATTTTACATAAATAAATAATTTTTCAATCAATCAATCAATCATCTCGTGCTCAAAAAAGTTTAAACAGCAAAGTTGGCATTATATGAGGAAACTTTGTTATTTTTATTTATTAAAGGGACGCTAGGTAGTTTTGGCTTGCTTTTGTCTTTTTAACACCTTAATCTGAAAGCTGAAATGTCTCCCCAGCCTTCATTAGTGTCTGCAGGAGTGATTCACCACTAAATTAAACAAATCAGCTGTGTTCGTTATCTAAAACATGCTGGAAACGTGCTGGAACCAGACTGCAGCGCCAGGTATGTCAGCTCAACAGAGCAGACCAGCTACTTTCAAATGGAACCTGTTAAGGAACTAACATCACAGCCTGTAAAGGGTAATTTTAGCACATATTGGCTAAAGTATTTAAAAATATGTAAAGACTGCAAAGTTTCCCTTTAAGTATACAGTAATTTGACTCCATTCATGTAAAGCACAAGAACAAGTTGAACCACTGGTTTCTAGTTTTTGGCAGCACTCTTCCTTTTGTCTGTGGTCTGTGTGTTGCTCTGGCTATGGGGAGAATAGGAATACCTTAGATTATTTAGAAGCTCAGAAATATGCTGTATGAATCTTTTCATCACTCCACCTGCTCGACAAGTAAAATAATTAAAAATAAAACTTCTATTGTTTGTGCACACCCACCTTTTGTTTGCTTTACACCCTGACAGTGCAGCAGACTAGCTATAAAGAATTCTTCTGGAACACAGTGTGCTTTTACACAAAGCTACCTGAAAGGGCAGAACTGCATTCAGGTTAAGTGATCTACAAACAAACAAGTTACTCATGAGTCTGCTTCAGCAGAATATTAGTCATGATAAAACTAAATATGTCAGTTAACCCTCTCAGGCTCAAAATAAGTTTTGATAAAAGGATGAACAACTAAGTCCTTCAGGCATACTTCTGAGTTAAAAAATGCTTGTGAAATATGTATGTGGAGGAACCAGGGGCCTCATTTATCAAGCTTGCTTACTCACAAAACGGGGTAGGAAAACTGCGTAAGCAACTTTCCACGCAAACTTTGAGATTTATGAAAGAAAACTTAGCGGAAAAATGTGCGCAACTTTCAGTTGACTATAAGGACCTTGCTTACGTACATGTTGGACATGGAGAGCACCTGCAGTGCTGCTGCTGAGAAGGATAAAATTATGAAATCCTGCAGCAACATCACATGTACTGCTTCGTTTTCACACAGAACAAGACCTCCCACACGCACACACATGCATGCGTACCATGGACGTAATTTTCACTTTAGAAGTGAGGGGGACACGGGGGTATCTTTACAGTATGCTCTAATGGGAAACAGGCTTCAACACAAACGGTTGTTTTCCGCTTGGTCCTAGAGCTCAACCAGTGTCAATTTAATATAGCGTAATATTGTTTTTGGATGGTAAAAAGTGCAGGGGTCAAAACTTGACTTTGGTCTGTTGTGGTGAAGAGATTTACTGGTCGGTCTACGTTCCAACCCTCATCTGTGGTCATGAGCTTTGGGTAGTGACCAACAGAAAGAGATCATGGATACAAGCGGCTAAAATAAGTTTTCTCCGCAGGGTGTCTGGGCTCTCCCTTAAGCTGTTGTTACAGGACCACAGCGTTTGCAAAACAAGATTTGCCGCGGCTCCTTGGGGAGGATTTTGGCATTTATAGTAGCAAAGCTGAAGCTAGAATATACTGCCATCAGGCACCTCTCAAATCAAGATGGGATAAAGGGAGGTCACTGGGCGGCCTCCCCACATGTGACATACAGGGTCACGCATTCAGCGTCAGATGGAAGACATGTCACACTGATGAAATTTCTTTTTCAGGACCTTTAGCTGTGATGTGACCTGCTTTTTGTCCCGCTTGACGCCCCGCTCAGTTTTCACCACTCTGTCGAACAGCTGGCTGTCTCTCACCGTCCCCGTAAAAAGACGACTAATCTGTTCGTCCGCTCACACGGCCAAAAGCTCCATGGTCGCGTCTGTCCAGTTTGCCATGTTTTAGGTGGTTGAAAGATACTAGTGAGAGGCCATGATTATCTGTGTTTAAATTAGGGGTTGTATGAACTAGTCGACTAGTCGACTTCACTGCTCTGTAGTGACTTTTTATGCCTTTCAGTGACTAGTCGCTGTCACGTGATAATGAGCGACGAGATGCAGTCCACGGAAAAGACAGCAGGTGACGAGCTCCTGCGCGTCGGGCGGCAACGCGCTGTGCCAGTGTCGGTACTGACGCCCGCCGTAAAACTGACATTTAACCAAATTGTGACGTTTACCCTCTTGCAATTTAACATTCCCCTCACCCCCATCCTAACCTTAACCAGCGTGCGCATGCAAAGCTCTGATCGTTGACGCGCTCCAGACATCTGCGTCCTGAGCACGGCCACAGTAACATCAAATTAGTTGTCGCCACCTCAAAAACAAATTTAACACGCAATCGTTCATGTCGGCTCATTTCCTTTGATGTTTTCTGTCTTTTATTTGTGCCTGATGCGTTTCGCTGCAGTGGGGCGGGGCGCATCACCTGTTTTGTCCTCCAATAACTTCACCTCACTGATGCGGTCGGTGAGCAGCGCGCACTCCGCTGTTTTTGCGGGCGGTAGATCTTTTAGAACTGCAGTTCAAAGGTAACTCATGAGGTGAATATATATGAAGCCAGGTAGCAGTTTCTCTTTAGGATTGAGAGGAGATGCAGGAAGATAATAAACAGGCAGGACAGAAAAATAGTCAAATAAAAACAAGTTAGTTTTTCTACCTGGTGGTTGCAACAAACAGACACCACTGAAGGTAATCAGAAGTGAGGAACAGAAAATGAAATAATTATGTTAATGTTTAGAGCAGCAGGAACTCTGAGAGGCTGCAGGTGCACTACGCATGGGGAGGGGGGAGAGAGCTGAAGTGGAGCAGTATAGATGCAGAAACTACCGCTGTAAAAAGAGATGTGTTTAACTTTGAAAATGTGGGCGCAATTTTAATTGCCAAAAACTCCAGCGACCCCACCCCGGCGCCGCTTCAGGTGTATGACGTCATCAACGACTAGTCAAAGTCGACTCGATTTTCATTACTTGACAGTCGACTTTAAAAAAAAATTAAGTCGTGCAGCCCCTAGTTTAAATCCCTTCATGCCGGCACTCGGCGCACAGTATACGTCACCAATACGACCACCCTCTTTTGCGGCGGGGCCTCCCACAATCGCTCCAAAGGGATTAGCGGAGCTGACACGCGTTTAGCCATCAGAGGCGAGGGGCTCATGTGGCAATATTACTACGAGGCTAAGCGCATCAGAATCAAGTTTTATCACCTTTTCCCTTTGCTCCTTGCCACATTTACGAGACCCACAAATTCGGATTTATCACTCTGTAAAGACGCAATGGTCTGTCTTACAAAAGAGGCTTTAGAGATAGGATGAGAGGATCAGAGTAGACCCACTGCTCCTCCACATCGACAGAAGTCATTTGAGGTGGCTCGGGCTTCTGGTTAGGATGTTCCAGGCACGTCCAACCGGGAGGAGAACTAAAGGAAGACCCAGGACACACTGGAAGGACCATGTCTCTCGGCTGGCCAATGATTACCCTGGAGAAGCGGGCCTAAGTGCCTGGGGAGAGGAAAGTCTGGGCCTCTCTGCTTAAGCTGCTGCCCCCATGACCCAACTCAAGATATATCTGCTTATAAGCAGAGGAGGATGGAGGGATGATCAAAACACTTGCAGATACACTTCATAAATGAGGACACCTACAATAATGACCTTCATATGACATGGATCCACGATTTCCCCAATGCAACCACAAGCTGGTTGTACAAGAGGGTTCTAGCTCATGCATGAGGTTAATGTGGTCAATTCTGCTTCTCTGCAGCTAAGTTACTTGGTGCATGCTTCATAGATAGGGCATGCCACCATGCTCCACCCGGGACCCCAATACGCTGCAAGGAGGATAATAGATTAACACTTCCCTAATAAAAAACATTTTAACCCTACCAAAATATTATGTCTCCATTTGCTGAATTTTAATAGAACATTTTTTATTTTGAATAAGCACTACCAGCATTTCCTGTAAAGCTTATGATTTAGCATAAACTGGAGTAGCTTTTGCATTTTCTGCATGCCGGAGATTACAGGAAGTTGTCTAAAATGCACCGCAGCTGCTTTGTTGACTTAGTGCTGAAACCATGTGACTTCATGTAAACAGCTCCGTGAGCTTTGTTAATTATAGTTTGTGTGCTAGTCTGAGCCTATGTTGCCTGTGATGACTGAGAAGAAAAACACTCGTCCGTGCTGATCTGTTCAAATAAAGTTTTCACATTCAAAAATGTCTGCGTGTTTAGCCCTTTTAAAACCCATTCCTTCAGGTTTTGCAGTGCCCTCAGCTGGCTTGGGAAGCTACAAGAAAGAGGCGTGTTTTGTAGGATTTCTTAAACGTTACTCAGCAACAGTCCTCATAACTCAACTCAAATAGTCATAAATACAAAAAAACAACAAAGAACTGCTTTGTGATAAGTGGTTAAAGTTTTTTTATAGGGAGTATAAAGCCAGCAATTACTGTAAACCCTAGTTCACAGCAGCAGCAGAATGACCTAATAGCCCTGCCTCTGTTACATAAAAACACTTTTGATCCGTCACGCACCCTTACGCCAGGGAACAGACTTGTTCTGTCAAGTCAAACGGTTCACGTTCATCGGGTGCTGCTTTTTAGGCAGGCCTCAAGCCCGCAGCAGCACCAACCGCTGAAACCAACCGACAAAAGGAGCAGAAACGAAAAAGGAGCAGAAACGAGGTCATTTGAGGACTCTGGTGTCAGCTTACCAGCATCACTTCCACCAGGCTCTGTAGAAAACATCCCCACCTACTGCTCACTGAAGAAAACTGCAGCTAGTGCATCATAAGTTTTGTTTTCCTAATGCCGCCCTGCATTTCCTGCTCTTTATGTTGCAACATCAGCTCATTCCTTTGCAATGTATTATTGCTTCCAGCTGTAGGGTTCGGACGTCTAAACAGAGGAATGCTTCAAATAGGAGTGATTGTATCGTGTGAAACTCGTCTTGATTTTGTGTTATGGGTCTGAGATTATAAATTACAGGAAAAATGCACACTTTTAGGATGGAAAAGTGATCACGAGGCACTCTTACAGAATATAATTCTTTCTTAAAGGCCTACTAGCTGTTTATCTAGCTCCATTTGTGTAAACCTGAAAAAATACTCAATCTTAAGTACTAAAACATACATTTTCTTGAAGTTTTTACCTTTTTTTATCAGGTCTCATTCTTTGCTACGTGTTATTGTGCTCTTAACCCTGAATAAAACCTACTTTATTTCTTGTTTGGCATTCTGAGACATGAAATATGAGTAAAATTTCAGTGAAACTTCCACTTGGCTGACTTCCTGCTCCTCTGGCTGCTCTCTAAGCTTTACTGGTGTTTAAACACGTATCCGCTGATGATAAATGGTGTGCAATGGGTTAGACTTTAAAGGGGAGTTAAATTCCAATGAAATTCTTTCTTCCTTATGGAGATCATTCCATGTTATGTGGCTGTGTGTGTGTGCAGGAAACCCAAAGGGAGTCATGCTCACTCATGGGAACGTTGTGGCAGATTTTGCAGGATTCCTCAAAGTGACAGATGTGAGTTAAATTTTTTCTTTTTGGGACTATTTCTTACAGATGTGAGTCTTACCAAACGATCCGGAATATTTTACCTTTAGAAACAGCTTTTAACTATTCAACACTATCACAGTTATCCGACTGTTTCCTTCCTCTTGTCTCCCGCAGAAAGTCATTTTTCCAAACCAAGACGATTGTCTCATCTCCTTCCTGCCGCTGGCTCACATGTTTGAGAGGCTCATTGAGGTAAAGAGGCTGATCTGAGATCTGTGAATGCATGGCCTTGATAGCTTTGTGACTTTCAGGATGGGAGTGTAGTGAGAAATGCGAACGTGGGCGTGAGTCTAGCGCGGGGGCGGAACAGAAACTCATTACGAGTTGTTGTTTTTTTCTTCCCTCCTTTCCCAAGTTTCATTTTCCAGATCCAAGGAATGATGTCCCACCGTTTCCAGTAAATGGATTGCATGTTGCATCATTACATGGTCTATAGCACTTCATATTTATGAGTCGTTTACATTTAGAAAAATTATAAGAAAATGCCTAAAATGTTTTTATTTTAAACTTTTTTCCCCATTTCTGTACATTTAACTTTTATCCTAAACTGGCGAGTTTGACACAAACACATTTAGAGAGCATTTAACATGTGGAACACTGAAAAACATTTAGTAAAATCTTATTTCTGATTATAATCGGTCACTCTGGGTTTTTCATGCAGGCTGAACATGAAAACATTCTCCTCCACGTATCTCCTGCATTAGCTTCTGATAGAAAATAGACGGTGAAACTCTAGGATGGGAAAATCCTGACAGATCAACGTCACACTGTCGCTTAACGTTAATGGACTCGCCCATCTTGGCTCACGGCGGGGAAGGCTGTTGATGGTTTAACGTCCAGAAAACAGCAGATGACGTCTTGATTAGTAGAAGCTAACCATTAGCATTAGCAACTCCACCACATGGCAGAACTCCTCCAGATTTGTGTTATTTGTGAAAATAAAACATCAGCTTTGCAAAGCAAACGGAGTCAGAGGTAGAGTCTGGTTGCTGTTAGCCAATCCGAGACGAGATGTCCAAATATCAGGAAATAAGACTCCAAAACCTGCCATCAAGCTCAGCTGTGATGTGGCTCATCTCTATTCCCTGGAAATGATGCATCAGTGCTTTTTGTCCCCCACGTATGACTTACAAGGCCTTCATTCCTGCTAGAGACCACTGCAAACGCATTGATTAAGTAAGTGTTGTTATGTTTAACAAGGTTTTTGTGGATATTGTAGAACCAGAAGGTCATGTTCCAGGCCCACACTGGAAAAAGAGTGCTGAAGGGCTCTGGAAAGACCAAAAAACAAAAAGTAAAAGTTTTTACTGTTAGTCTGACTCTTGGCTTAAACATTTTTCCAATATTTTCCATCCATTTTGCCAAGTTTGGAGGCGTGTTGCTCCAACACGTGCCATCCAGCGGGAAGCTGACAGTTGATGTGACTTTTACAAAAGCTATGAAATGAATTTAATGCAGACACTTAACTACGACAAGCCCATTAAAGTGGAAAAATAAAACGATAAATAAAAATTCAAATACTTTTGCATTTGTCTCTCCAAATAAAGACAATGATTTTAAAAATGTGCTTCATTCAGCTTTGCGTCAATATTTTCAAGGCATAAAATTATCCTAAAAATGAATTAGGATAAGAAAATGATTTAAAATCTAAGTGTGTTAGCCTTATCTGTGCTTTTTCTTCTTTAACAAAGCTGTGGTTTGTTGAAGAAGAAGTAACAAATAACAACAACAAAGGAAGAACTGTGCATTTACCCGGTACATGTGTTTTTGCTGTTGTCAATAACGCTGGTATTTTACCAGTCAGCAAGGTTTTTTGTTTTTAATAGAATTGATTTGACAAACCAAGTTAATAAGTAGAAAAAAATCTCTCGTATTGTATATTTTCAGGTTGGTAGTTTTGACTGATTTCTAAGTGTGAATGACTCTGCATGAATCATTCAGTAACCAGCTAATACCAGAGGTGTGCTGTTTGTGCCTCCTTTGGCAGTAGGCTGCTGTTATCTCTGCAGATATGTTAATAACTTAGTTTATTGCTGTGCCACTTGTGTGTGGACAGCTGCATCGCCCTGCGTTTGCCAAAGACACCGTGCAGCACGGCTGTCAGAGGCGTGACTCAGACGCAGGAAACCACCTAACTTCCCCAGAGAGCTGAGCTGCAGGTCACATGATAGAAAGCAAAAACAATTGGCTTCACATCTAATAACTGTGATGTTTGGAAGAAAAGAGAAGAAGAGTAAAAAAAAAAAAGAGCTGGCAATGCACTTTGCCTTCACCTCAGACAGCCTGAAAGTCACGCGTTGCGTTTCTTTCATAGTAACATGACAGAGGTGTTAATAACCAGAGGCTGAAAGTTCAGCAGTCTGCAGAAGAATTGCATTAACGTTAACCACATCCTGTGCTGCTAAATTTATTTAATGCCTGTCAGAGCTCTGTTTAGATGTTTCACGAGTGTAGCACAGTATGTTGTGTAACATTAATACAGTGAATTTGGAATAAATTTCCACTCTAATTGCTGAAATTCTTCTAAGATGACCCCAAATGTGATATAGATCTGGTTCCTTTATTGTGAATTATCATGATACGCCTAATAATGTATATATTGAAAATGTGATTAATTGTTCCATGATTTTAAAAAAATACATTCTTGGCTTTCATGTGAAGTGTTTGTGTTAATGTGGATTAAATTGCTCAGGCTAACTCACCTAAGTCTTATAAAACAGTGAATTAAACCACCTCACTCCTGCTAAAACATGCAGTGTTTTGGTGAATCATCTAATAATGGTGATAATTATAAACAGTCAATGAGTTCTTCTGCAGAGCAATTATGACTGAGGCACAAATATAATCACAAAACTGAGTTGGAGCACTTTACATTTTGATTTCTGTTTGTTTACTTAAAGACTTTTGCTTGTGCTCCTTTAAACTGTTGATCACAGTGCACAGAAATGGTTTCACTACAAGGATTACCAATCAATATACCAATAAAACCACTAAAAGCCATCAGTTCCCTTTCAAGGATCTTTATTAAGTGGTGAATAGTAGATAATGTGTGTGAATGTGGGGTTGGGTTTAGGAAAAGTAGACATTGTTTCCTCCTTGTGCCTAAAATGCACTGACACAATATATTACCTGCAAGGTTGTGAAACTTGTGAGGGAACGTGACATTTAAGGTATATATGATGAAACAAACACAAAATGGCATTTTGATTACCCAACAAATTGATCAGAATTAGGGACGAGTCTGGTGATCTGGAGTCTGGTGATCTGTAGCACAAGGTGTTGTGTCTCCAAGTGAGCTTGATACCTGTAGCAAGCAGTGGTGCCCTCAGGAAATTTGAATGGGGGACCAGTAAAGATTTTGGGATGGCACCAAATTGGCCCTAGTGGTATGCCTGTAGCTGTGCATCGCTCTTTCATTCCTATTTATTAAGAAGCAAAAGGCCTACGCATCCAACACATTTACCTCAAATTTGATAAACGCAAACATTTCTGGGAAAGAAAACAAATGTTCAAACTGTCTTTTCAGTCATTGTTTTAAATGTTATTGCATTCAATTTTTAAAACAATTAAAATTGCCTGTTGCTGTCTCAAAAATTTTATCTCTCTTTTTTTCTTAATAGTGAGCCTCAGTGACACACAATATACATTTTAAATGTGATTTATTAAATAAAATATGTATTCATAATGTATTTAAATGAATGTATTATTTGGCTTTAACATTTATGTCTTAATTAACCCTCCCACTGTCTTTATGGGTGACCCCGCAAGGAAAGTTGACCATTAAGCAGGATTGATGGTTTATCCCTTGAGGTCCATGTGGCAGGGGTGAGGTGGTGCTCACTCCTCACCCCTGCCACATGGACCCAAGTGATAAACCATCAACCCTGCTCAATGGTCAACTTTCCTCGCGGTGTCACGCCCATATTAGGACAGTGGGAGGGACAAAGATGAATGTATGGTTTGTGTGAACAAAAATTTGTTTTATTAAGGGGATTGGTCTTCCCTTGGGGGGGGGGGGGGGGCAAAGGCCCCCCTCTGATCACCCTTTGGTTGTGCCACTGGTAGCAAGTAGTTTTACAAAAAGTATTAATATTTTCTTTCGCAATCTTTTTTTTAAATTAAGTATTAAATAGTTCCTGCACCTTGTTGGTAAACGTTTTTTGTGTCTGGCTCTGCAGAATGTGGTCTACTGCCACGGAGGACGGATTGGCTTCTATCAGGGGGACATCCGTCTCCTGCCAGACGACATGAAGGCCCTGCGGCCGACTATTTTTCCTGTAGTGCCTCGACTGCTCAACCGCATGTACGACAAGGTGAGATAAATTAAACCAGAACTCTTAAATTGAAAAACAACTCAAGATCATGTCTAATTCTGTTGCTGTAATTTGTCGGCCCGTTTATTAAATAATGCTTTAAAATGTTCGTGCGTATCTAGCAGAATAGTCTAGTTGTGTCTAGTCAAAAGGTGGTGTGTTGTTCTCCCTTCAGATTTTTAGCCAGGCGAACACCCCGCTGAAGCGTTGGTTGCTAAACTTTGCTGCAAAGAGAAAAGGTGCTGAAGTTAGTCGGGGAATCATTCGCAGCGACAGCATCTGGGACAAAATCTTCTTCAGTAAAATTCAGGTAAGCACTGTTTACTGTTGGGCCTCTAAGGACAATAGAAGACTCCTTCTTGTAGAACTACAAGTGTGTGAGTGAAGATGATAAAGTGAGGAAGATTAAAACCAAAAACCTTGTTTAGTTCCACCACTGCAATCGAAAAGCAGGGAAAAGCCCAGTAACGGTTCCCTCAGGCCTTTTGAAACTATAACGAGGGAAAAACTTTACTCTTTGTTTTTATCAGGCCAGCTTGGGAGGAAGACTCAGGATGATAATCACAGGAGCGGCTCCCACTTCACCCACCGTCCTGGGTTTTCTCAGAGCAGCTCTGGGATGCCAGGTCAGACGCGCCCGATCATTCTCACAAACTTCCTGTTTACATTCATTACTGTGATGTTTATGTCATGTTTGACAGGGCTAGAAAAGATGTGAAACGAACCTATAAAATACATTGGAATAGTCTAATAATATTAAAATGGTTGTCTTTGTGCAGGTGTATGAGGCGTACGGCCAAACTGAGTGCACTGCGGGGTGCACCTACACCACACCTGGAGACTGGACATCTGGTGAGTTCGACAGGCAGAGTACAGACAGACAGGTTCTTACCTCTGAACTTGTTTGCCTAAGTCAAATGTCTGTGGTGACAGTGACTTGTGGTTTTAGGGAGCAATCCGTTTAGGATTGTGGAGCTTGTTGACCTATTTAATGAAATCTTGTGCAACTAATCTTTTGGACTTGGACTCTGTTACATGGATCTGCATTGAGTAAATGATTATTGTATGGTGAATGCTGCAGAAAGAGTGAGCAAGCAGGGTAGTGTGTCCACTTTCTAGAAAAAGACAAAAGGGAGAGACTTTTTACAAAAAGGTGGAGATAAAACAGCTGCTTAGCCTCCTTTCTTAGGTGATTTCCATCAATATCAGTCAGGCCAAACATCAGCATCAGTCAGAAATGCTTTAGCCTCTGATATATTACATTGTTGTTTTGCATGGCTTTGTCTTCCCACGATCTGAAAAACATTTGAAAAAGATGTAAAACTCCAAGATATTTTTACTCTCCTTGTCCCCTTTTTTTTTTTTTTTGCATATGCATTATGAAAGAATACAGTGAGAATTTTGCTGTGAGAAAATCCCAAAAGAGTCTAATGTTTCAGTCATTTTGGAACGAAGGTTGTACTGAAATATGTTTCATATCCATCTGGCTGTGGGGATTGTCAGTTTTTCTCCTTTCAAAACAAAAAAAAAAGATGGACATAACGACTGTTTAGCATCAGTGAGCGTGGAGTTGCCGTGTCTCCTGCGAGCTAATACTGCATCACTGACAATTGTAATTTGACAATGGCTGGCAAAAAGCTACAGTTGTTTAAAATGGATGCAGTAACCAAATTTTGCCACAGGATGTCGTTTTTACTTCATTTCTACATAATGTACCTTTAATTGAATTTAGGATTTATGATGTGATTTAAAAAAATAAAATTTCCTTCATTCCTTTAAATTCACATGCAGCAAAACTAAGCGTGGTCATTTATTTTTATACTAACTAAAAGATAAGCACACCTTCATTTGGTTTTTGCCTTTTTATGCATTTTTGAAAATCAGAATCTAATTTGACCCATTAGATCAATTCTGTTGAATTAGTCATTGTTGAATGTGACAAAGTCTTGAACGAATTTTAACAAATTGGGAACAGGTCTACCTATTGTGAAAGTTATCTGAAAGTCATGTTTTCAGCAATGATGAAAAAAAATCTAACAAGATTTGACAGATGCATCATCTTGCAGTCAGTCATTGTCAGGCTGTAAGACAAGTTAGTAACTAAAACAAATAAAACATCAGAAAACTCTTCAGTAAAGCCTGAAGAACTAAATGAAACAAGGGCACCTTGCAAGGTATGATTTCTTTAACGTGTTAGGGAACCATAATTACAAAACTGTTCAAATCACTGACTGAACTAGCATAAACATGGGTAAGCATTGCCCCCTACTGGTTGCATGTGGTTATTTATGCTGCTTAAACCAACCTAGGTGGCAGAAGAGATGAAGAGCAGTTTTAAATACCTTTCATGATTATAAAAACAGGTTACGCAGTTCAGAGAGTTTCCAGGGACCCACCCTGAAGCAAAGCGTGGTGTTAGGGGCAAGTGTGTGCAAGCACCTTGTGGCCAAGCTTCAGATGGTGAAAACTGAGCCCTAACGGACACTGATGAGGTTTGTTTTGGTTTGTTTGTTTTTGCACTTCCAGGTCATGTCGGCGCTCCGCTGCCGTGTAACCTCATCAAGCTGGTGGATGTTCCTGAAAAGAACTACTTTGCATCTAAGGGTGAAGGAGAGGCAAGAAAAAGCAAATGAGTGACAGAAATATTAGGCACTGCATATTTAGATAGCGTTTAAGTAAAAAACAAAAAGATGTATATACATGTAAATAAATCTGTAAACGCTGTTTTATCCAGGAGTCGTTACATACTGATGTAAGACATTTTGCTATTTCCTATCATTTTCATTCAGGTTTGTGTGAAGGGACCTAACGTGTTCAAGGGCTACCTCAAAGACCCGGAAAGAACAGCTGAGACGCTGGATGTGGATGGCTGGCTTCACACCGGAGACATTGGCAAATGGTTGCCTGTGAGTAGTTCTCTTCAAAATCATTTAATATAGATGAACTATTATTGATTGGGAAATGGGATCACGTGAGGACTTTTTTCTTGTTTCTTTTGTTGCAGAATGGTACACTGAAGATCATCGATAGAAAAAAGCACATCTTCAAGTTGGCGCAGGGTGAATACATCTCCCCTGAGAAGATCGAGAACATCTACATTAGGAGCGAGCCAGTGGCCCAACTCTATGTTCATGGAGACAGTCTGCAGGTAAAATTGTCGCAGACGATTATGAGAAAGGTTTTCATTGCTTAAAGGGGTAGTAGAGTTTAGAACCACATATACCTTGTTGTTATTGATGGAAGAAATATAGTCTTGCCACAATATGACTTTTTTAGACATTGAATTTATGACATTTAATTTTAATTCTGTGAAATTTAGTTTTTGACTTTTTTTTGCAGTTTAAATACTGCAGCAAAAAATTTTATCCATAAAAATTCAATTGCAGAATTTTAGCGTAAAAATTTCCTCAACAAAAATTCAACCACAGAATTTCAGCTTCAAACGTTCAACAACAAATGAGGTGACTCCCAAGTGACCAAAGCCAAAGCAATCCTCGCTCACTCTGGTAGAGACCTTACTGTTGTCACGTGATCAGAAAAGCATAACTAATCAGCTAAAAGCCCCTCAACTCCATCAACCGACGTATAGGGAGCCTAAGTCTCCTCCCTTTCCAGTCGGCTCATGGGTCCCTGGAAGAACGAACAAATGAATGCAAGTCAATGGAGCTAAAAGAGCTATTTTCTAATCCACTTTGCCTTACGCCCTGGATCGCACATACGTTGTACTTCAATTTAAATGAAAAGTAATGATGTGTGTTTCGACCACGCCAGTCACATATTTTGAGATTTATCAGCATTTAAAAGTTTGTAATTAGCATGACTACAAATCGAACGTCGGTACGTTGCATTTATGACGTCACCCCATCATCTCCTCTCCCCTAGCGCAGCTGCTGCTTACCACATGGCCAGATTTTTGGTGTTTCTTTCCTCCTGAAAAAGGGATTTGAAGTTTGCTGAACTTACATTTCCCTGTGTATTTCTTCATGTCTGGTTTGATGACACCCCTTTGGTGACATGCATTTGTAGTCCTGGACTTATTTTCGCACAAAACCTAAAATAACGTGTCCCATTTAGAAAATAGGTGCTTTCTTGGTATCAAAATGTGTCTTTAAAATTCATGAACATCAGATGTGAAATCTATGGAGCATAGCAAGCGGAATTAGAAAATAACGTTTTTAGCCTCATTGACTTGCATTCATTTTTTCATTGTTCTGCGGACCCATGGTCCGGAAGTAGGTGGTCGTGGCTTAGGCTCCCTGCTGTTTTTGATTGGGTCACCTGGAGGTCACCTCAGTTGCTGAATTTTTGCTGTGGAAAAATTACATCTGCATGTTCCGACCCACTTCAGCAAACGCTGGTCGTAATAATGCTAACCACAGAACTAGGCCAAGCTATTGCTAATGCTATGCAGAGTTATTGATGACACTAGGCTGAGCTACAGCTAATGCAATGCCAAGCTACTGCTACCATTAAGCTAAGTGACTGTTAATAAGAGCCTAAATGACTGCTAATGCTAGCCTGAGCTGCTAAAGTCCATGTTGGAAAAGAGGTAAATAAAGAGGAATGTTGGAGCACCACTTCTCTTCCAGGGTGTTCTGGGAATGTTCAGACTGTGAATATATTCAGACTCGTAGCTTGTGTTTCTTTTCCTTGTCACTTTTTTCCTCATTCATCCACACCTCTGCACCATGCAAAGTTTCATATGCTTTATAGAGGCTCAAAAACCTGTTTCCAGCCTTCTACTAACATTTACACTTTGGGGCTTTTTCGAGCCTGAATCATTTATTGATGTTTGTTTTAATCTTTGTGATTTTCACTTTGCTTTTTCAGTCATGTTTGGTAGGAATTGTGGTTCCTGATCCTGAGGTGATGCCTGAATGGGCCAAGAAAAAAGGCCTTCTGGGTACCTACAAGGATCTGTGTAAAAACACTGTGGGTGGAACATTGTATTGATGCTCAGAATCAAGTTTCCAATACAATAATTCTTTGAGTTTTATAAATTTCACGTTTTTTTTTTTTTTTTTTTAATCAGGAGTTAAAGAAAGCGATACTTGAAGATCTGGTGCGTCTGGGCAAAGCCAATGGCCTTCTATCTTTTGAGCAGGTAATTTTTAAAAGGTGACAATTCTCTCTGGGAAGTAATCCCAGTGTAATGATGGGAGATGGAACAATAGTTTGTTCATATAAAATACCAAAAAAAATTTACATTATTTCACAATTGAATCAGTTGTATGAAGCTGCATTAAGAGAAACCATTATTTACTTGTGGTTTTTTTCTGTGATCAGCCACTCTGAGTTTCACATGCAGGCTGAACGTGAAAATAGTCTTCTATCCCTATTTCCTGCATTAGTCGCCAAAAGATGATAGACAGGGAAACTCTCAGGTCAGAATAAACCTCACAGCTCTACGTCATGCTGTATATTTGCATTCATGAACTCACGCATTGCGGCTCGCAACCAGTGAAGGCTATCGTTAATTTTTCTTTCTACCAATTCCGCTATCCCAGGATCCACTGACTTCCCTCTTTCCCGTTCATTTTCTCTTTCTCTTTCCTTGCATTTTTCACTATTCTTTTTTTCTAGTTTTAACCATATTTTATACATATATATATATTTAGATTTTATTTATTAATTTATTTATTTGTATTTTGAATGCTTTGTTCTTGTGTAGCCTCTCATTTTTATCTTGAGAGGCTCTACAGAAAAGATCATTTTCTTTCCTTCTTTTTGCAGCCAGGAAAGAGTAGAGCATGTCTCGGCTAGTAGAAGCTAATTGGTAGCATTAGCAATGCACAGCAGGTCAGAACTTCTTCAGGCTTGTGTTATTTGTGGAGATAAAACATCAATGTTACACAGCGAATGGAAGCATTGGAAGAGTCGTGCTGCTGTAAGCCAATCAGAGACGAGATGTTTCAATATCATGAATATCTATGAAAATGACTCTAAATTCTTTCCTTTTCTGCCCCCCTCTCCCCCAGCTAACTTCTACTTTCTTAAACAGGAGCGCCAGATATTCATTCATACTAGAGACCATCATAAAAATATTGACATGATGAGTGAATGAGAGCTTTAATGGAAATGTATTAAGAGCCCTCAAAGAATCAGAATCAGAATCAGAAAAGGTTTATTGCCAAGGGCGTCAGTTTGTTTTCAGAATTGCTGGGGACAATAACCATACACTTGAGTGGGGTTTAAAAATAGCTGGGGACAATAAAGTAGGCTAGCACAGGGGTCGGCGGCTCTGTAGCCGCATGCGGCTCTTCCATCCATCTGATGCTCTGTGCTTGTAAAATAATGAATGGATATTTAAATAAAAAGCTTTATATTTTACTGCATTAATTTTACATCTGTATGCTAATTCTAAATGTAAAGATTGTCTGCGTAAACTTGAACAGTTCCAACCCGGTCTTACTGTGAGACCGGGTTGACGCGTCACGCTTGTGCGTAATCATATGCGCTTCCTGAGCTGGAGGATGTCAGATTCTGGGATTCTCCTCAGACGGCTCCTGGATGCGTCGCAACATTGGAGACAGGAACAAGTGCTATTCAGCCAAAGTTTCATAATCAGGGAACATTTTCTAAGTGACAAGTCTCTCTGAGAGACAGGGTTTGGAAAACACTCGCTTCAGTGGGAGGAACCTTCTCACATGCGCTCTGGTTCTGAGAGCCTGGATTTGTATTCTGAACAGTCTAAACATGTTTTAAAAAGAAACGTAAGACAAAAGTGGCACCTGCTCAGTAAAACCACCAACAGGGTGAAAAATATCAAAATATTGTAGCAGAGACGGGCTACAACTTCTGGATCATCTTTATATAAATCGTTTTATTGATTATCTTCTTATGAAAGATAACTTTGACGTACACGAGCGACCAGGCGCGTGGGAGATGTTGTCTGTGCCTAAAATAAATTGATGTTATTCATCTTGTTAGTTTAATTTCCATAATAGCAGAGCAGGTGCGAATTTTGGACGCGTCACGCATGTCTCCGTTTTAAACATGTTTAAACTGTTCAGAATACAAATCCAGGCTCTGTCTCGTTAGATTGGTATAACTAAAGTTTGTACTGAATGAAACTTTACATTAAACCATGTTGAAAAGAAAAGGATCCGATTAAATCGTTTCCCCTCATTTACAGTCACGGACTACAGCGCAGTGCGCGTGGCTCTGGGTTTAATCAAGTTTAATTGTTTCTCTTTGCAACAATCTTCACAAGAAGGCAAAACAGTTAAATGGCAGGTTACAGATATTTCCATTTGACTTTTATTTTGACGGATAAACTCAAGGATGCTGGCTGTTTTGAAAGAATTACTCCGACGCACACTGATGCGCATGGATGAGCTTGGAAAAATGTTCTTTTTATGAAATTATTAAACTTTGGCTGAACAGCGCTTTTTCCCGTCTCTAATATGGACACGCATGACGCATCCACTCTGAGGCAGAATAGCAGCTCAGAAAGCACCTGTAGAGACATTTGATTACGCACAAAGTTTATGTGGAGCAGAAGCGGTCGGGCCACGGCAGGTGAAACGTTCCTAGCCTACATGAAGTGAAACTGTTTAATTGTAACATTAATATGTTACTGAACACGCTGGTCTGGTTGGTTAGACCAGTGTTTGAAGTGGAAAACACACACACACACACACACACACACACACACCAATTAAAATAATGCTGATAGCATGGACTAGAAGCCAGGTGATGGTTTTATTTAAATGATGATCAGGCTGCTGTAAAATGTAATCTCAATCCACATCCAGACAGAATTATCCTCTATTCTATTTGCTCTGCTCTTGTCTGGGCTGATGTAGCTGACGGTGCGCACGGCGCGCCTAACGGCTGTGGTGCACATTTTACGCATTTGGAGAGATGGGCTGGATGCTTTGCGTTTACTGGAAGATGGTCCACTTAACGCACGGGTGTAGACTACATATTAATGACAAATGAATGAAAATTAAACTGGGAGTTTTTACTTCATATTTTATAAATAAAAATGACGGGGGAACACATTTATGACGTATTTTTAAACGAAATTTTCTAGCGTGACCTGCCTGCTTCACTATGTCACTGCTTATTAAGGTCCGTCCAGAATTACCGTGGCCCACCCAAAAATGAAAACCTGGCACCGAGCCTGTTATAAACCTCTGCAAATTGTTGTTCTTCACATTATCAAACTCAGACTTTGTACAGCTAATGTCAAGATGTAAAATTATGAATTCAGTCGAGCTCTCCGTCCCTCCCTCTCCTGGAAACCCGACATCGGCTGTCAGAAGAGGGAGGTGAAGGAGATGAGGCAAACAGAGTGAGTGCGACGTAAAGAAACCAGACTGGTGTGGAGGTGAGCAAAACAGCTGGAAAAGTGTGGGTGTTGAATCCCCCACGGGTGCGATGTCCATGCGAGCGACCAGTACCTGCTGCTGTCACCTGGTTGTGAGCAGCCCTCTGCTGTCTGAGGGTAGGCCCCGCCCACAGCGCTGCGGCTACTGCGGTGTTTTCTTTACTGTGGGAAACGGGTAATAATGGCTTTTTGATGGGAACAGGTTGCCGACCCCTGGTATAAGATCTGAGCTGGTAAAACAAAAATCCTCATCAGCAGGCTTTTTTGAAAGTGGGGGGGACACAGCTGCCAATCACAAATTTTGCCGGGGACATGTCCCCGGCGTCCCCGGTTAAAATGACGCCTATGTTTATTGCCATTGTCAGTGAACAAACAATTCACAAACTAGGAATCAAACAAAGGAGACTATATCCATTCTACATCTTTTATCATTTTCTTTTGAAAGGTAAAGAACATCTACATCTACAGTGAGATGTTCTCCATTGAGAATGGCCTCTTGACTCCGACGCTAAAGGCCAAGAGGCCAGAGCTGAAGGAATTCTTCAAGGCGAAGATCGATGATCTCTACAGCAGCATTACCATGTGATGGCCAGCAGACTTCGATTTTTTTTTTTCCTTCTTCTACTTTTAACATCTTGACACAAAGATCAGCTTGAACTGGGGACCTGCATTGAGACAGAAATGTCTCTCATGAGCCTGAAAATGTTTTGGGAACATAAACCAAAAACTTTCCCAAGAGTGGAGGAGTTAAAATTGTTTTTAAAATCCAATTATAGAAGAAAAACAAATGTGAATTACAACGCACACTGTCACATGTATTTCTGCCTGTTTTATGCATTTATTGGAGGAAATTAATTAACGTATACACTGACAGGATAATTATTTAACTTTGTGAATTTGTATGTCACTTCAGAAGCAAATCATGACATTGCACTTTTGGTCTTGTCCACCAGAGGGCAGCACAGACTTGAATGTGGTTAAATATGCAAAGCAATGCAAATACATCCGGCAACAATCTTTTTATTATTGTTGTTTCAGACACCTCAACAATGCCAAAACAACAATTAACATGCATTCTCATCCTACCAGATACAATAAATGTATACAGAAAAAGAAATATATTTAACAATGTGCATTGTCAGTTGTGTTTGATTGAGTTGCTTTAATTTAAGCGTATTAAATCTTTCCATGTTCATCCTGTTTGTTGTAATGATCTGTTGCAGCGGAAAAACTGGTGCACGTCTGTTTCCCATCACTCTCTTCTCTCCCTCATTCATTTAAACCCACCAGCCAATCAACAAATGTACAATAGTAACACGATCGTATGACAGCAAATGTGATGTCCTTGTGTTTAGAGTAGCTCCAGGAGACATGTTGTAGGACACTAATGAATTTCAGTGAAAAACTTCAAATTTTCATTCAGTCAATAACTCATCCTCAGCAGTGCCAGTGGAAAAGAAAATCTGACTTGGCGCAATCATTCAGCTTGGTGCAACAAACCGCATTGTGCAGGTAGATGGAGGATGAAAATGGTTGGAAATCAGCTTTTTTATTTTTGTTACTGCTGTCTGCACTGTTTTATACGTTCAATTTTAGGCCGTTAGTCATTCATTACAGTAAGTGGCCGCCACATGGCTGGGGTCAGACTTTCAGCATGCATGAACTTATTCATCCTTTTGCACAAAGAATGTGTCAAGAAAAAGAACTATTGCAGAGCCGGGGGGGGGGGGGGGGGGGGCAATGCATGCAGTTTGCCCTGCAATTCTAGGACCATGCACATTTGACTTGGGAGAAAAAGTCTTTTTTTATTTATTTATTTTTAAACCAAAAGCAGGCCGAATGCAGCTGCCCACATCCACAGTTCAATGCGTGGAATATGTAACTTTTGCAAAACTGGAAATTCCACACATTGCGAGTAAATAGAACAAACAGCAACTTTTAAACAAATGATAGGTTTTTTTTGTTTGTTTGTTTGTTTGTTTCAGGTGGTTTACACATAGAAATAATGTATAGGCTTTTAACGTTGATGACCGTCCCAAAGCATCAAACAATGTGGATGTACATAAACGAGGACTGCTAGTTGTGAGCATATTCAATAAACTGATGGTTTGACTGATTTTTTTTTTCCTCTTTTGCGTGTAGTAGGAAGAATTGTACTTATTTATTTATCTATTCTGGTGTAAAATGGAATCAGCACCATATCCTTGTAATGACGGAGTGCAGCAAAAAGGGAATGAGGGAGGGTGGGGGATAGGAGAAGGTGAAATAAATGATATTCTGGAATGATTTTAAACGAGTGTCTTGTTCATTTTCTTTTTAGTGTGTGTTAAATGTTAAAATTACAAGAAAATTTAAAGTTATGGAGAAATGATTTGTCAATAAGATCCAATAAATAATTGTCTACTGATCATACAATTACAAACTATAAGATATAACAGCAAATCGAGCATGAACTCAGTGCATCTTGGCTATTGTTATTTTTACAATTTAAAAATATGAAAAAACACCTTTTTTAAACAATTGTATAACATGTTTTTTTTCTTCTGATGCAGTTTTTTGTATTATTATGTTAAAAACTAATTTCTTTGTTTCAATGGCATTTTTAAACAATTTGAAACATTTGTCAGACTTCATGCCAAACAATCAGAATAAAGCGTAGAGTTTCAGCTGTTTTTAATTACATTATTTTTTAATCTAAGCCCAAACATTCCTATAATTAAAGTGCTTTTTGACCCAATTCTGCAGACTTTTTGGAGATTTTTTTTAAATATATATTTTAACCAGGTTTCTTAAGACAGGCTTTTCGTTTGAACTGAACCACCCAAATGCCTGATTTATTTTTCTTTTATTTAATTCTGTACCACTTTGAAAATAGGAATCAACCAATTAAGAAACTGTTTTATAAAAAATTTACTTGAAGCCTGTAGCAAAGAGCAAATGTGTTCCCATTTTTATTTAATTTGCATAAAATCCCCACAGATAACAGAAAAATAGTGCTTTAACGCTACCCAGACAAAATATTCATACTTATTTTAAACAAATATCATAAGAAAAAAGATTTATAGTATTTATTCTTATTCCTAACTTTTTTTTTGCTACAATGAAAAGACAGATTGCACATGCCGCCCCCTATTGGTCATTACAGGACTTCACCTTTAATTAGCAATGCTAAAGAAACAAAAAAAAAGAAAAAGCTAACAAACGTTATTAAAACGGACACAATAATGCTACAAGGCATTTATTTTAATTTCAGTCCACTGTACAGCCTCTTTTGAGCTTTTTGGCGAGGAAAAAGGAAGAAAAATCTCATTTCTACCCCTAACCATCCAGCAGAACATCCATCAACAGCTGCTCTAATTGAAACAGCTGTGCACGGTTGCTTGGCACCGCGGAGCAAGGGAAATGTTTAGCTAGCTGTCATGAGGAGGAGAACTGGTGAGCTAAAGAAAACATCGTGTGGAAATTACTTTGATGGTGGAAAATGCCTCCATCAAAGCGCAGAGTAAAGCTTCGTAGTGACACTGAGATTCCCGTGAAACGAAATACACCCCTGAAGGTAGCACCAAGGCAACGATATGGTGAGAAATCCTTATTAAAATACACAATACACTAGTTTTTGTGCATTTGAAGTAGCGTGCTAATAATTTTAAACCAATTTTTATACTTTTTTAATCTTTAGTTATTTCATAAATGCTTATTTTATTGATTGTATAAAGCTCAACAGGCCATCTGAGGCATTCAGGTGTCTTTACTTTAATTTCCATTATTCAGTGTCTAAACCGGTGGTCTTCATCAGACGTTGTGATACATTACTAGAGGAGCCTGAAGTGGTTGATGGAAATCAGCCTGCAGTTAAAACAGTAAACCCAGTAAAAGTGAGTATACTGGCTGAAATAGATGATGAATCAATACATCAATAAATAACAGTCTCTGGAATGCACTCAAGTCCCCTCAGAGCAAATACTGGAATAAAGTATAGGAAGAACAATTATACCGGAGACAAAATGCCAGTTTAAGTACGTTTTTGTTTTGATATATTTACTTTTCTGCTTCTTTACATTTGCACCTGCAGGTTAGTGCTGCACCGCTTCACTGCAAACGCGTTCCAGGCATAAGTACCCCTGCAAGTTATGACGGCACAAGAACTTCCACACCTGTTACACCAGCCAATAAACAACCTTATCTAAATATGGAAGAGATGATCATGCTAGAGGCTTTTAAAAGTGAAGAAACTCCAGGAAGTGTCACGTCTTACAGCACGGAGCCAACTTTCAACTCTGATGATGATGATGAGGATGATGATGATGACACTCCCTACTCATCTTCCTCCACCTTGAGCAGCCTTCCCTCCCCAGAGATCTTCAGAAAAGAAAGCAGCGGTTTGTGTGTTTTATAGGTTTAAAATATATATATGAAACTATAATTATGATGCAACATGCTAATATTTCTGCCCTCTTTTGTCTTCACGGTGAGAACAGCTTTTCCAAATGAGGACGAGTTACTGGGTCTGCATTTTCTGCATGTTAAAAATTCCACCTTGTTGGACGTTAGTCATGCAGAGAACGTGCACACGCATCATCCATCCAACATTTCTGCCATCTTAGGTGCTACTTAATATTGATTTTATCTTCATTTTTATTAGAACAAGGCAAAAAATGGTTATTTTTATAACAAATGTGATTTTTTTTTTGGGGGGGGGGGGGGGGGTCTTGTCTTTATGTTTGCCAACAGATGCCTCTACAAGTCTTGCTGCAAAGAACCATGAGATCAGGTAGGTTCATTTACAAACATGCTGATTCTTTTATCTATAAGACAATTAATGCTGTTTTTTTATCAAGCCAACCGAGAAGACCTGAAGATAAAAGCAAACCACAAATGGACTCAGGTAAAAGCCTCATAACATAAATACATCAAGTGATATGCAGTTGTAATGCTCTTCTCTCTGCCTTTACTGAGTTAAATCCTAAATAAATGTTTTACTAACTTGTAGAAAGTCGCTCGAAAGGGAAAGCTTCACCAAAAGTAAGAAGTCAGGATCAAAATCTTAAATCAGAGTTTTAGAGCTAAAAGTATCATTTATGATCTCTGTGAACATCAAATCTCCCCAGCTCACTTGGAGAACGCATGTTGTCCGTAAGAAGAAGGTTTGGTTTAAAAGTCCCATCGCTGCTGAGATTTCCAAAGCCAAACCCTTCACATCCTCCACGTCAACACTTCAGAACACCAGTGAGTCATCCAGCCCTCGTGGAAAAGTCACACCTGATACGAAGATCGGTTGTAAAACTAAAACATCGCCTCATTTGATGACTCTGAAAATACCTGTGAAATCTGGTTCTGAGCAAGCCTTGTTCTTTGATTTTGTCAGTAATGATGAAAGGGAAGCCTTTTTTAAGAAGATGAGAGAAAGGTGTGCCAAACTCACAAGTTCTGTTTTCTTTCCTTTTGGACTAGGTGCACAAAATAGCCTGTGATAGCTAAATACATCTTGATTTGTGATTAATTTTTTTGTCCTATTGTCTATCATTTTGTGTAGGACACCTTTTCTGTTTGTCCCTTAACAGTAAACATATTTTACAGGGTGACGTGACTCTAAGGAAATGAATGGAGACAAACGTATGTGTTAGTTTCATCTAGAAGCTAATCAGTTCTATTTGCATGGTTCAAGTTGGTATGCTGCGGCTCAATGAGAACATTCAAATGAAAAGATGCTCTACCTTCACTTTTTACATGCTATCAAAATTATCATTACAAAAAGTGACCACTAGGGGACACGCCTAGCTATACTTTAGCACTAGTCCTGAAAAAGAGTTTATTTGTGATTTATGTTTGTAAAATACTCCGACCTATTTGTACTTTTATTTGGTGTTAATTAATGTAAATGTTGCTCGTTTGTCTCTTACTCTTTACTTTAGCTGCAAAAATATGAATGTAAATTTTGAAAGTGTTGTAAGGTTACTTTTTAGTGTTTATGTGTATATTTATTTAAAATTGTACTTGTGTCTCAAAATATTGATAATAAAAGGAGGAAATAAAACGTTTTTGTACATTTAATGCTATTGCTATTAGTGCATTTTTCATGTGCTGGCCTTTAACTGTGAGTTGCTGGTCGGTCGGAATTAGCACACATTTTTGTGAATACATTTCATGCTGTCACGATTCCGGACCAAACATCAACACAGCGAACCCTCTAACCACGTGGTACCCAGCCAATAATATCAGCCAATCACGTAATTTGTTGCAGCTACCACGCCTGCTGAGCCAATCACAAAAAAGCAGTGGGTTACTAAGCAGCTCCTGTGACTAATGCCTGTCATATGACTCTGACACCCATGGAGACAGTTACAAGGAACAAGATTTCCTCTCGGATTTAAAAACAAAAGAAAACTGTAGAGAATTTCTTTTGGTTGAAAATGCCTCCGACTCTCTTCCAGAAACTTTTCAACAAGAGAAGTGCAGTCTCGTCGCCGCCTCCGAGATGTAGCAAAGGGGATCCCGCTTTCAGGTAGCTGTTTTGTGTTTGTAAATATGTTTGTGTGCAACGTTAATTGCGCTAAAATTGTGTAATTTGTTAACCTGTGTGGATGTTTAACGGTCTTCTAGTGATACTTGATTTGTTTTTAGCCGGCTGGGGTGTACACAAAAAATCTTTATCCTTTAGAAATTTAAACCTTGGTGAAGGAAAGCGGTTGGAGACGTGGGAAACGTGCTTGTTGTTGGTGAGGAAGCTAACGTGCTAACGATAGCTCCTAGCAATGCTACTGCCCACGCTGCATTAGTAGCTTCCCTCGACAGCCGATTTAAACAAAAATCCCTCATCGTTTGCAGTTGATACGAAGTTAGCACAAAATGCCTTGTCTGGAAAGTGTCGTTTTCCACTTCATTGCTATGAAGTTGCAGAGGCATGTCCTTGTTTTTTTTTTCCTCCGCGTGTTTCCGCTCGAGTTTTTTGTTGTTACTGGCGATACAGGCAGTTTATCTCTAGCTAGCATGAATAAATTGGTATAAGTGGCTTTTCTCAGCCTTGCAGACGTTGCTGTGTGGTTAGACAACAGTGGAGGACACTGTGTGCTCTAGCGGAGAGCATGTGATGGCTCAACTTGGCCACCAAGGCACGGATCAATGCCAAACAGGGCATCAGCCTGCAGGTCATTCACAACGTTATGTATATTTTAAAGGAAAATTAAATATTGCTTCTCACACACGTTTCATTTCCAAAGTAATTTTGTAAAAAATATAATTTCGAGTTTGAAGTGCTTTCATTATATTTATTATTGCCTGGAATCACAATGTTTCCATTATTTTAGCCCTAAAATTAGATAAAAGAACTGCTTTGATGAACATTTTTGGCTTTTTTTTTTCAGTTTAATAAACAGGCAGTTAAAAATAACAGTTTGATCATTTGTATTTTTTCCCTGAAATACATGTTTTTAATCTTTTTAGAGACCACTGATTTTAGTTAAAAACAGGGGCAGATTTAGGACTGAAGAAGATCCGGGGCTTAACACACACACACACACACACACACACACGCACACACATGACACGCACTAGTCAACATATATATTTGTCTTGTGCCACATAATTTTTAATCTGAAGCTACTTATTAAGCATATTCAGGGCAGAGTATTGTTCCTGTTAGTGTTTAGTGTGAGATGATAGTAAATATTCCCTTTCTTTCTCCAACAACTTTACCTGATAGTAAGCTAACTTTAGGCAAACCAGCAGCACAACAAATATTTTCAAATAAGACTCACAAACCTGAGTCAACACCAGTCTCATCAAAGCTGGGGTTCTGTCGTTGTACTTTTGGTCTAAAAAACATCCTTATGTCCATCTTCACACATGCGTTTCAGGCAGACTAGAAGAAGCCGGCTGCTGAAGGGCTTCTTCTTCAGTGGTGGAGGCTCAGGCAGGCTGTATACAAACTACTGCCAGCTGCTCCCTCTCTGTTGGACTTTGGTACTGCATGTTACTTCCGCGATTTAGATCAGGGGCTTTTCATAAAACATCCGGGGCTTCAGCCCAAGTAGCCGGGCCTAATGCCGCCCTCGGTTAAAAAGCAGCCAAATCAAAAAGAACAATACATTATTATATTGTTATTAATAATAATGTTATTTGAAAAGGGACCCGCCCACTGGCAGAGCAGCAGGCACCTTAATAATAATAATAATAATAATAATAATTAATAAACCTCTCTGCCTCTGAAGGTGTTTAAACCTGCAAAAAAGACTACTTCCTTTGCTTCTATCTCAATAAATACACAAATTGCAGATGATTTGGGTAATCATGTCAAATAATATTTTCCATTTGACTTTTGTCATTTCTACCTGTCTAATCAAACAATGAATGTATGCCAATGTACATATCATTAAAAAATGTCTTTTTAGCCAGAATTTTTTAATGAATATATAATTAAACAAAAGCCCTAATTTTATGGTTATATTAATCTGTTATTTACATGCTTTCTTTTGCCATTTCACCGATTTGCAGTGGCATTGTCTCAAGTAATTGTAAGCAAATGTTTGAGTTCTTGTGATATTTTTCAGGCCTAACCCATTTATTTTATTCCTGTTAATTACATTCAATTAAATGATGATACTTTGGGGGACAAAGGTGTTTAATGAGAGCAGAATACAAGCGCATGCTGCATATGAAATGAAGAATATCTAAGACCAGTACTAAGCTGTATAAGTATTTATTGAGGTAATAGTTAATGTGGTAGAACCATGCATCTTTGAGAAGGTTAGCGTAATACTAGGAAACTCAGTTAATTTGCACATTTGTATGTTCAGGGTCAGGTATGCTACCAAGGAGAACGGACTTTAGAGTTGCAAATGCCTTTTCATTTTGAAAGATGTTGCTGCCATCTTTTCATGTTATTTTGGATATATATTTATATCCAAAAAGTGCACCTCCTTTGCGGTGCTTCTTGCACGTTGACCAATGTTGTGTCATAACATTTCTGCAGCTGTAAAGGTGCCCTGCACCCACTGATGTAAAGGCTGTGTGTGTGGGCTGAAGGGAGGGTGGAGGTGGCTGGCATCAGTCCTAGAGCAAACAGACAGTCAGCAGGCGTTTCTGTTAACTCAGTGGTCAGCTGTGCTCTTCATACCTCTGGCATAAGCTCTCCATTCATCAAGCACCAAGCGGCTCTCCAGGGGGGAAATCTGTTAGGAGATGTGGTTGGAGAGGACACGTAGACGACACGGTCTATTTTAATCGAGGCCTTTTAAGAAAAGTGTCCTAGAGATGTTACTCTGTTGTTATTTTCATGCAGATCTCAGACAAATCTAATCAGATTTGTGTAAATGTATATTTTATACAGCCTCTGCAGCTAATATTAATAATTGACAAAAATAACTCAAAACAAAAAGGGTTTGTTTTGCATCCGTGTTGGCGTGTACAATTTGCCACCCGCCAGAACACCGTCAGAGGCGTTCAGAATACCAGCGAGGGCAGCAGGTTGGCTGACGCTTGGAGGAAAGCCTAAAAAGCCTCTCCTCTTTCTCTGGCTGCATCAGCTGACCACTGGCAGCATAGTGTACATTACACCCAGATCCTCTGGCTCTGCCAGGAGCTTTCTCCACACTCGGTGCCTGATCTGACAGCTTGCTGGGGAAACTTTCTTCTTGATCCAAGCCACACATACGTATGAATAAATAACTTTAGTCAGACAAGCTAAACTGGATTTTTTTTTTGAACATCACTGAAAAGTAAGGTTAATAAGTTTAATCGTTTTTCAACCCTGTAAATATCCTTTATACACTAAGTTAGTAAATATTTATTTAACCCTGATCGTAACCCCACATAAAAGAATGTATACATTAGTATTTGCTCTTTTTAACTGGATCTATTTTACCTAGGCTCTATCTTCTTTCTGAAGTTTGACAAGAAGCCGTGTCTCTGGTTCCTGTTTGACACGTTTGAAATCATAGTTTCGTAACGTAGTGTGTCATGTGAGGCTTGCATCAATCTCAGGCAGTCAAGGTTGTGGAACGATCACATGGCTGCTTGCCCACTCACTGCAGAGTCTGAGAATACGAGAGACACCTGTGTCTGTTGATGAATGATACATCCATGTATCGGTGATTATTCAGATTATGGGATGTAAGCCTGCTCCACTTTATGTGACCATTGTATTTTAACCCTTTAATCTCATGTGTATTTTGTCAGGATATCCTGTCAGATTTTGTATCCATATGCATGAATACTCTTCTTTTCTTGCTGTTCACTTGTCAATGCAGCTACATTTTTCTCTTGGTGGCATCCCTTTTTCCCCAGAATGAGTCACCGACATATACCTTTACAAGCTTTTAAGGTCATAAATGAATGTTTGAACTGCAGCTTTTTATTACATGCATTTGCAGATCTGCCATGGTTCTGTAAAGACAACGGCTGTCACCAGCTTCCTATCACGACTATTTTAATGGCTTAACTGAAACTTGTGAGAACTGCACAGGTCACAGTAAAGATAAAGGTTTAAGAAACCGTTCAGATGAATCACATTTGAATACACGTCTGTTCTTACATTGTTACAATAATAATTTAAGTGCTTCCTTTACTATATTAGCTCTTCGTTAACCTGGTTTGTTGGTGGTTTTAAGGCCTTTCAAAAAATGAAATGCATACAAATTTGAAAACACACCAAGCTAAATTTTGGTTCAGTCTATAGTTTTATTCTTTCTTTTTTGTTCCCATTTGAAACATTTTACAGTAAATTGGTAAGCTTTCCTAATGTTTTACATTTTTAAACGTATTTAACATCCTCTTTTGTTCTCGGTTGAGTTATGCCATGCTTTTATTTTTATTTTTCTAGCTCAGGTGATGTTTATCCATCCCACAATGTCAATGTTTTCGAGCTGCTTCACAGCCCTAACATACTGATGATCGGGTTGTTTGTGTGAAAATCGGCAAATAAACATAAACAGCATAGAGCAGACACAGTCTGTGTGTCATCGAGTGTTCTAAGAAAACCACCATGAACAACCTGTCTGTTGGGAAACTCGTGACACGTCAGCTAATTGGCCTACTTTCAGTCTTTGATGAGTGATAAGCAAAAGAAAAGGGACATGACAGGAGATAAAACTAGATAAAACCTAGGTTTTAAGTGTTATCTGTTCTGTTTTCAAAGAAACAAATAGAAATGATTTAAAATATGAATGTCCTAGTCACAATTGCTGGAAATGGGTACACCATGGACCCGACTTGTACCGGAGGAAGCGGTTACAGAAGATAAATTAATGTTTTTATGATGGCAAGAGCTTGAAGTTCTTTTAGAAACCTTCTGACTTACCCATCTGTCTGTTTAGCTCATATTTGTTCATGTTATTTTGTTAGACACCATCATGCACTTGTTACTGTCAACAGTCCCATCACCCCCGCGCTGTCACATTTCTTCTTCAGAAGTTGTCACACAGGATTTAACAAAGTGTATATATACGTATTGGGTTATGAATAACGGAGTAAGAGGTAAAGGAATACTTGTGCATCAAACTTAATTAG